CGCGTGGGCAATGGACCCTCCCTTTAGTGTCCCCCTCCCCCAGCACAGATCCTTGACCCTCTTCATCTTTCTTCTCCCCCCCTCCTGCTGACAGGTCATGGAATCTCCCCATCACCTCCCCACCCCCAACATGATGGAACGTTCCCCCCCAGGCCACGGTAGCTCCTGCCATCCCTGCATGCTTCCCACGGCTGGCACCGCACCAGCCACAGGGTCCGCGCACGTGACTCCCCACGGCAGGCTTGTTTTACGTGGCTGATCAGAAGAAAGTGCCCCTGCTGCTCTCTCGCCCGGAGGAGTGTGGATCCGCCCACCTGGCTCAAGCCAAACCTTTCCAGGGACCACCACTTGCTAATGGGAACTCCTTGTTAATTACGCCTGAGCCATTTTGCTAGTGCTGCAGCTCGGGAGAATGGTTCCATTTAAATTACGAAACAGACTGCGTTTTAACGTTGTCCTGTTAGTTTATTAAAATATTAATTTATGTGCAACACAAAAGGTTTCAATGTTTAATTATGACGGGTGGGGAACCTTTTTTGTGTCGGGGCCACTGAGCCACGGAAAAAATCAGCTGGGGACCACACAAGTGAGAAGCAAAAAAAAAAAAAAACCCACTTCCCCAAATCCCCAGCCCTTACTGATGTGGCCTCCAACAGAGACACCTCACTCTTCTGGTGCTCCAGCCCCACAGGGCAAGGAGGAGGATAGGGAGAACTGAGCTTCAGGGCTTTCCATAGCCCAGATTTACTTTTCTGGGTTCGAGAGTTAGTGGATTGTATGGAACGCTTAGGCTCTGGGGTAGGGACAAAAATGAGGGGTTCACTGTGCAGAACAGGGCTGTCAGTGAGTGGTACAGTGAGTGGGAGGTGGGGTGCAGAAGCAGGCTGGGAATAGGGTGTTTGGCCAGGATAAGGAAGCAAGAGCAGGCTTGGGGTAGGGTGTCTGGCCAGGAGGGAGGGTGCTGGACAGTGCTTGGAGAAGGGTGTCTGGCTGGGAGCAGGGAGTGCCTAGGGATAAAACGGGCACAGTAGCGGAGGTCTTTGAGATTAATTTAGATTAATTGGCTAATTGAATAGTCAATACATTTTGCTGTGGCTACAAATTGCTGCAGGTCTGTTGATAAACTTCAAAGGTGAAAGTGGTGCTGGGAACAGGGGACCAGCGGGGACTCAAGCAGTCCCCCACTGACCCCGTGCTCTCCTTGGAGTTTCAAAGCGGCAGAGCCACATGGAGCTCAGGGTCAGTGGAAGTCCCCAGCTGACCCTGGGCTCCACGTGGTGCTGCCACTTTGAAATGCTGCATGCAGCCCGGGGCCACTCCCAGTTAGTCCTGGGCTGCATGCAGCATTTCAATGCAGCAGACCCCGAGCTCCACGTAGTGCTGCCACTTTGAAGCACCCTCTCCTCTCTTCCACCACAGCCCCTTTCTGATAAGAGGCAGCAAGGGAGGGGAAAGCAGCTAGTGTGTTGACTATCTGATAAGCTTTTGTTTATCGGATAGTTGACTAGTTGTTCACATCCCTAAAAGAGGGTGCCCCTGGGAATAGGACTGGAGTCAGGGTGGCTGGGGGGGGTGTTCAGGGAAATGGGGGGGCAGGGAGGCTGGATGTGGTGCAGCAATGTGGGGATGGGCAAGTGGGTGACCTTGGGGTGTCCAGCCCTGCAGGGGGCAGAGTCTTGTAGGGGTCCAGTCCATGGCACCATCAGGGGTTGGGCACTGAGGCAGCTTAGCCCCTCCCTTTAGACCAAGTCCCTATGGGTGCAAAGCCATGAAGGGCCCTGAGCCCTCGCCTGTGTCCTGCAAGGTCCTCAGCCCCAGCCTGGCCTCCTCCCACCATTGCCAGATGCAACACAGCCCAACCTGCAGCCTACCCTGTGGGAGCAAGCGAGGGACACGCCACTCTTACCATGGTGACCACGAACTCGGTGGGGCCTAGGTGAGGTGGATGCTCAGCGGCACATGGGACTTTCCCATGGAGGGGGGCAGGAGGCGCTCCTCCATGTGTAGTTCTGTAGCCCACACGGGGCGTGTGCACGTGTGTTTGCATTCTTCACCTCCCCGCCTACCAGCTGGAGTTTTTACTACAGCCTCATGGCTGTGTGCTGGCCACAGGGCTCCAGCGGCAGCGCGGGCTCCCTGCTCCATGGAGTAGGAGGGGGAGGCTGAGCTCCTGCCACGGACCACCTGGGAGAACCATTGCCCTAAATCTATCAGCATTTCACTGGAACTAAATCCATTCAGTGACAGACTGTTTAATTGGTAGCTAAGAGAGGGTTCCCTATTGCTTGCAAACAACAGACTATACATGTAATCTGACTCAAGTTACTTTCAAGTTGTACATTTATAAAGGGTGTAAGAAAAATGCAAGACATTTAAGGGCTCAGTGCAACAGATTTATTGTCATAGAATTTCTAAAGCAGAAAAGCCTCTGCACCCAGGAAAATATTTCTGAAGAGCTCTTATGCAGAAGTCCCCTGTTTTGTGGTGGGAGCAGAAACAAATAGTGAAGTATGGTACTGCACCTTATTGAAAAGTGAAAAAAATATACATTACATACATAGAAACACAAATAAGACACTTTGATAGCAGGTCATTTCTAGGCCTGAGTGCAGCAAAAAAGAGGCTGCTACTATTTAATGGTGAACAGAGAGCTAGCTACATGAATTCAAGCGAACACAATCTTCTCTGGCCTTGACTGGCATAGAGAAAGGGCTGTTCCTTCCAAGAGTGCTTAAAAACCAAGCACAAACTACTATATATTACACCAAGCTTCACATTTCCCATTATAAATGGTACCAAAAGTATCCAGATTTCCCCTTGCAAAGGGTAAGAGCGGAACACTTCCCCTTTCCTTTAAATTACTCAATCATCTAAGTCTAAGGCATGGAACAATCTAGAGTTTTTACAGAAAATGAAAGTCAAATTTTGAAAAGTCACATTTAACATCAGTGGTTTTGGTAGAACATGTACCAGTGCCACCCAGCCTGTGTTTCTGGGAACTGAGACTGGCCTGTGCAATCAGTCATGACACAAACAGGATTTGTAACAGCTCCATGTGGCAGGAGACTAGCAGCAGGTTTCTGTCTGCGTCAAATTGTGAGCGAGTAAATAAACAGCTTCTTCTTCTGCCTCTGGGAATCAGAGTATCATAATTCATCCATCATAGCCAGTAAATCATCTCCCTTGCTTATGCTCTGACTGGGCTGATCTGCCACCTCAAACTCTCCCATGATTCGAGCCAGCTCCTTATTCTGTTGCTGGTCCTATTTAAAAGTAATAAAAATAATAATAATACATTAAAACAAAAACAAAGGAATATCTAAATCCTTAATTTTACAATGATTATCAGCATAACTCTGTTCAGAGTTCATTTTAAGATTTCAGGTCAAAATTTGACCAAATTTAGAACTGTCATCATAGTCTTAGAAAAGCCCTTAGTGTTCTCAATTGTATATACAGGCAGTCCCCGACTTACGCGGATCCGACTTATGTCGGATCCGCACTTATGAACGGGGCTCTCTCGCCCCGGAGCTCACAGGCAGCGGTCAGCCACCTCGAGCTCCGGGGCGAGAAAAGCTGCTCCCGGTGCCCCTGGTCTGCTGGGGACCGTCTCCAGCAGACCAGGGGCATCGGGAGCAAACCCGCAGCAGCGGTGGGTTCCTGCGCTTCTGAGGCTTTGCCAGAGCAAAGCCTCAGAAGCGGGGGCAGGGGGCGCTGCTGCGGGTTTGCTCCCGATGCCCCTGGTCTGCTGGGGACCGTCTCCAGCAGACCAGGGGCACCGGGAGCAGCTTTTCTCGCCCCGGAGGTC